ACTGAAATACACATTTAAGGGAATGATTGGTATAATAGCATGATTTCCTCATTTTGACTATAAGTTTCAGATAAATAATAGACATTTCTTTTTGCTCATGCTGGCTCACGCAGCTCAGGCGGGGCTCCGCCCACAGCGCCCCTATATACCGGCCGCCACTGTATATATATATACATATATATATATGACATATTGCACCATCAGTACTTCATTTAATTCTGATTTAGTTTTAATGGTTGAAGGTTCTGCTGGACCCATGTCTGACTCCTCGGAGCAGCCCAGTGGCTCACATCTGGGTATGAGAGGTGAACTCAGTCACAAACTCCTCGTTCCTGTTCAAAACAGTGAAACATGGAGAGCTGAGTGCGAGTTAAAGCCCTTCATGATGCTGGATGTTCTGTGTGTATGTCCAGGCCCAGATTGGATTCCGGCCCGATTCCGGATCAGGACAGCCAAGATCAGAACCAGATCAGATTCTAATCTGGGCTTTGACATATATATATGTATATATATATATACATATATATATATGAAAATATTAACAAGGTAAAAACTAGCTAAGAGGTTTGACTGATGCTCTTTTTTATTTTATTTTATTTACCAGGTAAGTTAACTGAGAGCTGCTTCTCATTTCCAGTAACCACCTGGTCCAGAGCCGGCGTACCAACCAGATGAGCAGCACCAGCAGACTACATGTAGAGCAAACACATTACGCAGAGACTAGAGGCCGAAAACAGCTGCAGTGGTCCTGAAGAGCTGCTCTAACGGAGTTTTAAACGACCAGAGCGGGACGTATGAGCTGAGTTTAGGGATTGTTGCAGAGAGTTCTGGTCATAAAACTGGAAAGAAGACCGACTGAGAGCGGTACGGACTTTGGGAATGTGGAGGGTAATGAGACTGTTAGAACGAAGAGTACAGGTGGAGCTATGAATGGTGGGTAATGGAGGAGAGGGCCAGTTCACCAGTTCACCAGTTCACCAGTTCACCAGACTGCCGCGGTGGGTGCTGGAAGGAGCTCCGGTAGCAGAGCGGATGGGAGACAGTGTTTATGGAGGAGGGTTGTTGGAGCGGATCTGGGTAATACATCACCCTAACCAGTGCTGTGCAGGCCTACAGGGAGGCCAAGTGTTTGTTTCCTTCCTGCTGGACCCTGTGTGCTGGTCTCATTAGCTCAGGTCGGTCCTGTTGCTCTGCAGCAGGTGAAACCAGACGCCGCTGAGCAGACTCCTCTCTCAGCTCAGACTGCATCAGTCAGAGTGTTGAAAGAGTTCCACATCATACTGAAAACAACCACAAACACATGGCAGAGGCAGTTCTTTGTAAGTTATGCAAATTAAATGATGTGCTGCAGTCCATAGATCCCTGATTGGACCATCTGACCTCTGAGGGCACCAGGACAGGGATCCGTTTATGAACTACTTTTTGGAGGCTTGACGCTTGTTCATCAGCTCTTAGCTGAGGCGTCCACAGCCTGGTTAGCTCACGAGGCTTCTTCCAGGTTATTTTGACGTTCTGCTGGTGTTCACAGGAGAACATTTCTGTGACTGTAAACAGACAGCAGCAGTGTAACTTAGTGGAAGGCGGGTTAGAGAACTCAGTGCATGAGTCCAAAGTCACATTTACCAGTAAGTCCAGTGTGAATGAATGAATGAATGAATGAATGATGCTAGTTGAATACAGAGCAGCTAATGTGAGTGCCTGAACATTTACGGGCGTCTGTGTGTCGCTGCTGAGCTTCACAGAAGGAGAGCTGCTCTGGGCTTTCTCTGGTTATTTGTCTCTCTGTGGAAGTGGATCTAACTGGCTGCTGGCCCTTCGCCTCTGTTTGCTCAGGCCAGCCTCTGATAACTGGCTGTGCACAGTTGGAGCGCGCCCAAAAAACTGAGACTTAAAAAAGAAAAAGGAAAGAGGGAAGAAAAGCTGCCAAGAAGAAAGAAAAATTCAGCTGCACAGTCAACGAGGTTTCCCACGAGGCTAATGGAAAAACCACGGTGCCATTTGGCCCTTGTGTTCCTCAGGGATTCCTACGCTCTCAGTCACGGCTTGTTTCCATTCCTTGGTGGTGAGTGTCACCCTCATGGAGACTCCACAGCGCCTCCCTGATTGGCTCACACTGCTGTCTGTCACACCATCAGGCCTAATCAACGCTGCCTGAAGCTGAAGGAGGCTGCAGATCTTTGTGTTCTCTGTGTGCCGCCTGCGTTTCTTCTGAGCGGAGGTTGGACGCCTGGTACCTCCAGCTCCTCCCCCCCACACCGAGGCCTTCACATGCAGCCTCCCCCACAGGAAGTGCAGCGTTCCCACATTCAGGAATAATAGGGGGAGCAGGCAGCGAGCACATTCCCGCTGCCAGAGCCGGCCACGCAGGGACAGAGAGGCACTGCAGGAATGCTGCCTTCCTTTTGTGTTCCTCACCTCTTTCAGCTCAGTGCTGACCAATGTGGTGAAAGCCGACCCGCTGGTGAAGCCAGGAGCCTGCAGCATTTATATGAGGCTCTGGTTAAATTGAGTTAGTCTGAGATGCATGTGCAGCCATAACTGTTTCTGGCTGATTGCTCTTAAAGGGATGGACTGGTTTTCAGCCAACATCATGATCATCCTGCATGCATATGAAGGGAGCTCAGTGTAAGTCAGCTGAATCACCGCATGCGAGTGGGATAAGTAGACAGTATTATGACTTTATTTTTGGAGCTATTGTTTTCCTTCCTGCTTCATGTAGACAGAAAAGAGGAACCGGTCTCTAAAAAGTCGACTTTGTTCCCACACAGGTTTGTCACTACATGAACGTCTACATGCAGACCAGACTGATTAGTTCTGAGGCTGCTCCTCCTGAAAGAACCTCTGTGTGAGTTCCTCTGCTGCTGATACAACAGCCGAGCTGATAACACGACCGCTTATCAACGGCATGCAAATGTAAAATCAACCACAACAACCTGAACTCCTCCTTTAGCGGAGACAAGCATGACAACACACCAGGGCTCCAGCCGTATGGATTCAGTTCAGTTTTATTTATATAACATACGTCACCTCACAGCGCTTCATGAGGGAAGGTGAAGACCTCAAGAAGTTTAACCCAACAACCCAGAGCTGCCTTTGGATTCCCTCTGAGCGGTGAATGCATACAGGACGGATGGAGGTCCCACAACTGAATACATCACTTAAACTGAGTATATGTAAGGATACGTCTGTCTGAGGAAGAGTGAGACTGATGACGTCTTCCTGTCTGTATGTATGAAGCACAGGATGTCTGTCAGTATGTACAAGTGGCGCTATAAATATTATGTATATTATATATATTATGTATATGTCTGTATGTCTGTCTGCAGAAGTGCATCTTATCAGGATATTAGTAATGAAGGACACCAACAACCAGTATTTGCACATACAACACATGTGCAGTACAAATGAAAATCTAGCACAGATCCATCTGCTCTGGTTGCTGTGATATGAGACCAGTCTGATGGGGGATGAGACCAGTCTGATGGGGGATCTGATGGGGGATGAGACCACAGACTACAGACAGAGAGCGGCGGCTGCATGACAGTCAGGCTGATGCATTTAAAGTTATTTTGTCACAAAAGAAAGATACAGAAAATCTGGAAAATGCCAAATATTGGAATAGATAACGGGTCAGATGCCTGCGACACACACAGACACTTACTGAGCGTCCTTCAGCTGTCAGACAATATAAAAGTGCATTTATAACAATAATCACACTGTGGTGTGTTGCTGTACACATGATGCTTATGAACCAACTCCTAACAGCTGCTCCACTCAGTTCTATGGAACTCATTTATCCCTCAGTACAAACTCTGAACATATACTCTACACTCTATGTTCTACTCCTGTCCATCTGATGATTTGTGTTTGTTTTGCAGATGAAAGCAGTGGAAATGGTCTGAAAGAAGCTCCGCTGCCTGGACATACAGAAGTAAGTCCTGATGTATCCGTGGGCCTTTCTGGACATTCAGAAACTGTTCAGGACGAAGTGTGACGTGTTGGGAAAGAAGCTCATGTCTGACTTAATGCAGACGTTTCATATGAAGCTGCAGCGAGCAGCTTGATTGGTTAGTTTAGCAGGAAGGGAGCACCTTGTCCAGAGGTGAGGAAGTCTGCTCACCAGCAGCAGGTACCAGGTTCTGTCTCACTAGTTTAATGCGCGCTAAACCGTATATACAGCAACGGGGATGTCAGTGACTTCCTCCCTCTGAAGCTGACGGGATGCCGACTGTAGTTTCATATTTATTTGATCAAACGCTCTGCAAAAAGGTCAAAAAGTCTGTTTCTCAGAACATTGTTCTCCGTGTTCAATTGTTAAAGTTCTTTTTTTAGATCTGAGCCTGATGCTGCTTCCACAGCTTTCCTTTGTTTGTTTCCATGTTTACTGGACGTTTGTGTGATTTACAGACGTAGATAAGCGACCTTTAGTCGACTCGCCGCTCCGACTGCTGAGTCACGAGACTTTTCTGTCTCAAAGAGCTCATTTCTCTGAGAGCAAGGCACAAACAGGAGTCTGTTGTCAGTCTGTTTGGTCCTCAGCGGCGTATCGAGGCCGTGCAGCAGATGGCTGACTCATCCTGATTGATAACACTGATTATATTGTGTCTGTCGAGTGTGTCTCGAGGTTTTAGTGCATGAATGGACCACTTTGTCATTAGTGCTAAATTACCAAACACTGCTGTTTTTTTACATTTCTGTCATTAGGCCAGATTAAGTAAGGAGCAGCGTTGCCGCCCCTGTTACAGGAAGGTCTGCTGGTGGATGTGAGGCTCTGATAAACAGGCTGGGTGGAGCTCAGTAAACTGCTCAACACGCTGCTCCGAGTCGAGCCGGGTCGTCACAGTAGAGCCTTAAAGTACGTGTTTGTCCAGAAGAACCGTGTAAATAAGACAAACAGATATCTCCAATCAAAAATAACAGTTCTGGAAAGAGCTGCCAACCAACACCCGTGACTCCTGCGAGTGGATCTTTCTAAATGTCCTGTTAAAGTGAACCGTGTATTGAAATGAATATTTAAACTAGACACAATATTCTTTACATTAACTGCTTACATAAAACAAATATGCTGCAATGTCGAGCTGTACAGCAGATATAAAGGCCAGAAGTAGGAGATGTAACAGTGTGATTAAAGTATATTAACTTCTAGCGTGGTTCAAGTTATGAGATATAATAATATAGTGATTAACAATATGGTAGCGTCACGTTTAAAGACACTGATGTACTTGTACATCATACACTGTACGACACTTGGTCTTCAGGCGAGGTGCTGTTTCTGACAGACAAAAATAATAGTTATAGTCTCAGAGCAGCTTGATGCCGTAAACAAGTTTGTGGCATCAACACAAAACCTTTTGACACAAGGGGAAGGAACTTGTGGAATAAACTTGTTGAAGTTAGGACTGACTGAAATCTAGGAGCTGATCTGTCCGTGTGGAGCACGTTTCTCCTCCGCCGTCGGGTATTTTTGTGTAATGACAGGCTGTGATTGTACAGTCTCCAGATTCTCCTGTTTCATGTGGTTTTCTGCAGTCATCATGGTCGCCGTCTAAACGCTGCTACGACAAAAACAGTCACTTGAAATACTTTGCTGCTCCGACAAGTTAGCGCCGAGTTAACCCTCTGAAGCCCCGAAACCTGCCCCCGCTTTGATAGGCGCTGTGTTGTCTTTAAATCAGAAAATTTGACTATTTATCAGCCAAAAACTATAAAAACAGAAAGAACCGTCAGATTTAAAATGTTCTGGTGGTTCTGAACTTTTCATCTTTGACGTATCAGAAAAAATCAACCGAATCTAAAAATCAGGATTTATCATCAAAATCTCCTTATTCTCACTCTGCCAGAAACACAAAGTCTGTTCTAACCAGACTCTTCAGAAAACAATGAATCTGCACTCTGTGATGCAGCCCTGAAGCCCAGACTGACCCGGTTCTAGCCAACAGCCATGTGATGAACAATCAGTTTTCAGCTGAACTCTGCAAAACTGCACTTTGTGTTTAAACAGATCGGAGACGAGGACGGAGACGAGTCAACATGTAAGAAGCTGGTAGAAACACATTTGTTTCCAGGAGCTGGTCAAATCTGACAAATGCTGCACATGTTGATTCAGGGCTTTTTCAGTGTTTGTAAAGTAAAGCCAGAACTGTCACTGTTTTTATGATTCATGTCGTTGTACCTAAACATCCTCTGTACGCTGCAGAGGATGTTTCTGAGCTCCTTCTGCTGCTGGCTGTGGTTGTGCTGCTCCCATAGAGGAGCAGGACTTTATACTGCAGTGCAACATTACCCCTCAGTCAGTAGAAAGGTGACCGGAGCATAAAACCCTGAGAATCCTTTTGAGGTTCAGAAGGTTACTGGAATCAATCGTCCACCATAAACAACATGTACAGCTCTTCTGTGCTTCTCTATACATCCGACACTTTCTCTCTACTCGTCTGAGTTCCTGTCATCAATGTTCTGTCAGCCTGATTTGCTTCTCTGACAGTTTCTGGTGTCAGTCTGCCGTCACTTCCCGCTCTAAACGCACTTTGTGATTGTTTCTCTTCCAGACAGACAAGCTCCATCCCAACAAAGACACCGTGTTCTTCAGGGACGGCGTTCGCAGAGTCGACTTCGTGCTGTCTTACGTCGACGATAAAGATGGAGAGAAGAAGCAGGTACGTGCAGCAGAGAAGCCGTTATTACGTGACTGCTCAGTGTTTTAGAGCCGCCGGCGTCTGACTGTAACGCAGCTGACATTGTTACGCAATTCAACCCCGGAACATGAATGCTGCAAAGAGGAAGCACGAGTCAGCAGATTGTCTGTGGCCGTACGGCCTTCGTGATGTGACACAGTTACTGAAACGAACAGATTTTGTTGTTGTGTGATGACAGTAGGACAAATGAGATCAGCTGTTGGTAGAGCATACATATGTGCCACGTGACCAGATATAGCAGATACATACATGACAGGAGCATAAATCATGTGGTCACTGGTCACATGTGGGACGACTGAAGGAAGAAGCAGTGGCACACGAGTCAGCCATGTTGTTGTCCCATCATAACATGACACTCAGTAGTCGGCAGTAAACTGAGATGTCAGACACGAGTCATCGTCTTGCAGCACGGCGCCCAGCTGCAGAGTCGCTCAGCGTCCAGCGCTCGGTAGCAGAACGTAGCGTGGAGACCGTGGACTCTGGAAACAACATCCACAGCACCAGATGATCTGAATGTGGAGGATAGTCACCACGGAGCCCTGTCATGTAAACAGGGAGTCATTCTGGACACAGACTCATGAAGCAGCTCAGGTGCCTCATAATAATAAAACCATTATACTGTGTAGCGCCCCCTTATGGTGCTGCTCTGACCTGTCAGGGCGTCGGTGTCGGACCTCTCTGGGGTTTGGTAGCAGGGCCTTTGGTCCAGTTTTCACAGTGAAGCAGGACACGATGTCCCACTGGGAGAGGCTGCTGGTGTCGGGAATTGTTTAGGGGGCGTGTGAAGGAACCGGGCTTCCCACCAGAACTCTGCATTGTATTGAAATGATCGATGTCATAGGCTTCATGTTACTCCTAGAACATCTAACATTTACTTAATCAGCAGGTCTCCCTACAGGTCAGCAGGTGTAGAGCTTCTTCTAGTCAAAGGAAAACAGTCAAACAGAGGTTCAGGCAGAAGTCAGTGAGCTGGTGGATGTCCGGCTTGTTTCACTGCAGATCAGGAGACTGGACACGAGTCTGTCAGCGGTCCAACATCCAACACGAAAACCCCTAACACTCCTACTCTAATCTCATTTTTCTGTAGCTTTTTAGGTTCTTGGTAAATTCTGCTGTCCAGTTATTTCTTTACGCTCTGTGTTATCTCGTCTTATGGTCGTCTGTGTCTGCATCGTGTTAAACAGTTCATTCGTTAGATTTCTATGGGTTGAAAATATACTCACGTGTTTTTATGTCATGTTTGTGTTTTTTATTAACCCTGTATAATGACGTCCTCACTCTGTCCAGCGTCACCACTGTAGCACTTCATCAGATATTTTAGAAAACCTTGCAGGTTAGCGTTCATATAAACGTGCCTCCTGATGTCCCTCTAGTATTTGACTGAGTCAGATCGAGGTTTGTACTGCTGGAGATTTCACGGCCTCCTAAACCCATTTTGGAAGTTTTAACGGTACTTTTTGTCAGAACGGCCGCCCACTCTCACACCCCCGCCATGCCCCGGGCCAGATTCCTCAGCTCGCTTTGACTAAATCCATTTAGAAGAGTTTGAGCTGTGACTTTGCAAACAAACAGAAGGAATGGAAGCTCCTCGGACGGCTTCACAGCTGAAACTCTCTCAGATTCATAAGAGAAGGAGAACACAAGCTGAGCCTGTGTGACTCCATTGCTTGTGGTTTGTCTGTTCACAGGAAAGAAGGAGAGAGTTTGAGTCCAACCTTGAGAAAGCAGGACTGGAGCTGGAGACGGAGGACAAATCAGTAAGAGCTTCATCTGCAGAGTACCTGCGCCACCTAGTGGGCAGTCTGCTGAGGCACACCACCATGTACAGAGAAATGTCTTAAAGGGAAGGTTCACCCCCATGGTGCCACCAAGGACCTCCAGGAAGCACACAGACAGCTACAGCAGAGGTTCAAGTATATCTGTTCACCTCTAGTTGTTCTTCTCTCAGGACTCTAAAGACCAGAAGACGTATTTCTTGAAGATCCACGCTCCCTGGGATGTGCTGGCCACCTACGCCGACGTCTTAAAGATCAAGGTTCCCTTCAAGGAGAGCGACATCCCTCACGGCCAGGACGTCCCGCTGGAGTGGCTCTCACACCCATTCCGACTGCCGGGTCACGTCATGCATCCACAGCCCGACTACTTCACCTACCCCTTCGACAAAACCAAGACTGACTTCTTCCTCATCAACGACAAAGACACCTTCTTCCCGCCATCCACCAGAAACAGGATTGTGAGTATTCAGGATGCTTCGGGCTCGTTGAGAGCATCTCTCAGAGGTTTCAGTGTTTTTGAATGAAGACGCGGCTCCACGTTTGTTTTGCTCTGCACTGTTTGACAGTAAAGCAACATTTAAAATATATTTGATGAAGAAACGTAACCCAGATGTTCTGTTACAACCCTCTCTTGTTGTCAGGTGTTCTACATCCTGGCTCGCTGTCCGTACTACAAAGAGGGTCGCAAAGACAGAGGCAAGACGGGCATCAAGCGGTTACTCAGCAACGGCACCTACACAGCAGCCTTCCCACTTCACGATGTGAGACCAGCAAACAGCAGTGTTTAGATCCGGCTGCTCCGCCTTCAGCCACTACTTTTACCTGCACTTTTTACCTTCACCTGATCGATTCAATCATTCTAATCTGCTAGAAACTATTCTGTGTTCTCACCAGATTTCAGAGAGTTTTATTTCTGGAGATACCGACCCTTTAAAATGACTTCTCTGTCTTAGAGCGACCGCTGCAGCCCTGATTAGTGGTAACTGCTGCTCACAACTCATTTTAGACTCATGTTTATGCAGTTAGAGTGACTGGAGCCCACCGAGGACTCACGGCAGTTGGACGGAAACTGTTGTGTCTCCATCCTCAGCAAATCTTATGTCTGTTGGAGTTTTATTTCTGGAGATATCGAACCCCTAAAATGAGAGTTTTTACCTTTAGATGTAGATTCAACGTGCAGGATTCATGAGTTTTAGTAACCCAGTCCCTTCCTGGAGGACACACGATGATAAAATGCTGGATTTTAACACGACAGATCAAATAAGATCAGTTCTGTACAATGTGTGTACGTTGCCATGACTACTGGGACTTCTATCTTTAAAGAAGTGGTTCTGTTGTAGTGAACGGGCCTGCACAGCGCTGAATTCAGAACTCCAAGACTCACTTTAGTTGTTTCTATCATTTCTCTGTGCATGCAGCAGGTCTGGAGCCGTAAACTGTGATTGAACCGTTATAAAAATGTCCACAGTAACAGTTAACAGAATACTTCGACCTCTTCACACATTTTTTTCTCCATAATTTCCAGAGAACTTTTGCCCGACGGCTCACATGACATTTCCTTTTGCTTTCAGTGTCGATACTGGAAAAAGGCCAGAAACGCCGAGTGTGAGAGTGAACGCTACAACCTGTACAAGCACTGGGCCAGGTTCCTGTGCTTCTACAAGGAGCAGCCTCTGAACCTCATCAGGTAAACAAACGTCCCCAGAACCGTCGGATGTGACATTTATCACCCTTTCTGACTTAGAAATCGAGACTCTCTTGGTGTGTTGTGACATTAAGGCGGTTCCTTGTTTGCAGGAAGTACTACGGGGAGAAGATTGGGATCTACTTCGCCTGGCTGGGTTTCTATACAGAGATGCTGTTCTTTGCTGCCGTCATGGGCCTCATATGCTTCACCTACGGAGTGCTCAGTTATGACGACAACATATCAAGGTTCGTACCGGCATCATGGAGCGCTCTACGATCAGAACTATGTGGACACCCAAACACAACTCCTCAACTGTCACGTTGTTATGTACACAGAGCTAAAATACTGCAGCAAAGCTTCACCTCATGGAGCTCAGCTCACACCGCAAGCTGCTGATTTAAAGTGTACGCTCGCTGTAGAGGATCCAGGTGGTGGAGCCTGTTGAACTGTGTGCTATATGTTGTCCACATACTGCGAAATAAAAGAAGCAGACGTCAGAATAACGTGGTACAGGTCATCAGGCATCACAGACTGCAGCTTCCAGCGTCAGCATAAAGCTTCATCAGCAGCTGTAGAAACCAGATTGACTTTAAATCATTGGAACATTGATGAAGGTGTGATTTGGTGCAGGACTGTTGTATTGGGCTGCATTGTTTTAACCAGGTGTGCCTAATAAACTGCGGTACATGAGTGAAGCATGGTGGCGGCAGCATCATGATGTGGGGATGCTTTTTGCTAGCAGTCCCCCGGAAGGCTTGATGACTATTTAATTCCAAAACTAGCTTCCATGTTCTGCTCTAAGAGGCTCCACTGTGCTGGGAAGGCCTTCTACAAGACTTTAATCTGCTCCTTCTGGGTCTGAGGGCACCAGTGAAGTCAGCTACTGAACATGGAGTGATAAGACCACGAGGACTGAGTCCCACCACAGAGGTGTTTGGTGGTTAATATCAGGGCACAGTGCACTGCAGTCTAACCCTCCTGTCCCAGTAAACCTTGATCTATACATGGCTGCATTGCAGAAGCTATGAAAGTGGCACCAAATTAAAAATGTCCATTTAATGCGTTTCTATGAGGCCTCGATGCTCAGAAGTCTTATTTTGACATTCAAGGATGAGCAGAGGGCCTGTTGATCCAGATGTAGACAGTTTTATTCTTTACCTGTGACTGTACACATGTTCATGAGTCTTTCTTCTTCTTCTTCTTCTTTTTTTTAGCAAAGAAATATGCGACGCTGACATCGGGGGCAGTATTCTGATGTGTCCTCTTTGTGATAAAAAGTGCCCTTTCTGGAAGCTCAACTCCACCTGTCTCTCATCCTGGGTAATAATTACACCTGACACGTTCACTGGAAGCCAGTTTAAAGCCAACGGTCACACGTTTTAAAATTTCATTCAAAGTGAGATTTAAATATCACAACAAAACATGTTAGAAAACAGTTCTTTTTATGTTTTGAGAAAACTGACCTTTTTGGGTCACAACACATTTACTTGTACAACAAACCAGCGTCCTGCTGAGTAACCAGTATGTTCCCCTGTCGACGCCCAGCATGCCGCTTCCTCAGCCTCCGCCAGGTACTTATCCTTTTTCATATTTCCTCTTCCAGCAATCCCATCTGTTTGATAACGAGGGGACGGTGTTCTTTGCCATATTTATGGGGATTTGGGGTAAGTGTCAGTCTGTGCTGCTCTTCCTGTGTTTAACTTGTGTCACAGATCCGATGAAACCCGTTCTGTCGGACAGACCTTCACAGTTGAAGCCTTTTCACACCGACCTTCACCCAAACTCTGCTCTGAACCTCAGCAACTAGCCAGCACAATTATGTTGTTATGTACAAGCAGCAGGGCGGTTTGCCAGCACGCTGTGGGCCAGGAGAGCCTGAAACCCGGCATCAAGCGCAGCGGGTTGGCCAAGAAACCACGAGAGTCAGGGCACAGCTGAAACACATTAGACACAGAAACGCTTCAAGTTGGAGCAAAGCTACGGCATGATTAAAACTATGGACACACGAACGCACCCGCACGGCAAAGAGCCATCAGACACGCAAAGAGTTTGTGACCCGTCATGTCTTTCCTCTGAAACTGTTTCACAGTAACACTGTTTCTGGAGTTCTGGAAGCGGCGTCAGGCCCGGCTCGAGTACGAGTGGGACTTGGTGGACTTCGAAGAGGAGCAGCAGCAGCTTCAGATTCGGCCGGAGTTTGAGATCAGATGCACCAACAGGAGACTCAACAAGATCACGCAGGTGCTTTAGACGTTCTCTCTGAACTTTAGAACGCGCTCTGTGGTTTGCAGGTAAAACCATATGACAACCAATTATACAACGATGAAGTAACAGGACTCATCCGTGTTGCAGGAGATGGAGCCGTACCTCCCCGTCACCAGCAAGTGCGCTCGCTTCTGCCTGTCTGCAGCCACCGTTGTATTCTGGGTAACTGAATATTTACCTCCTTTGTGTGATTTAAATGTAAAGCAGGTAAATCGAAGCCTCGTCACTTATTGTCACTGACCGTATGCCGTGTGTCCTCAGATCTCCCTGATCGTAGCCTGTATCATCGGGGTCATCGTCTACAGGCTGGCCGTCTATGCAGCCTTTGCGAGTATCATCAAAGACCCGATGAGGAAGATCCAGCTGGTGGGCCGGTTCATCACGCCACAGCTGGCCACTTCTGTCACTGCCTCCTGCATCAACTTCGTCATCATCATGATCCTCAACTTCTTCTACGAGCGGGTGGCCGTCTGGATCACCGATATGGGTGAGGAGGCCTCATCAGAAACACACAGAACAAAGACAAGATGTTTTCCTCTGATCTGCTGAAGGATGGACGGTATATCAGCGACCACATCAGTATCGACCTGATGAGCTAATTTAGCCGATGATTCTCTGACATCAGCGCCTTCGTCTCTACGTCTGATATCGCTGCTGTTTTTACCTAAATGCTCCTGGACTAGAACGTTGAATATGTTCTACTTCTGTTACGTAACACAGAAGACTATGTGGTCTAATCTGGACTTCTTCTGAATAGCTGTCTCACAGTGCTGACTGATGCTCATTTTTTGACAAAAGCTGAATATCGACATCGGTGACATCGGTTATCGGCGATATCAGAAATCTTAACATCGGATGTCGGTATCGGCCAGACATTTTAATATGATGCATCACTAGATCCACGTTCTGGTGCTGATTGTAAGTGTTTGCTTCTTGCAGAAATCCCCAAAACCCACCTGGAGTACGAGAACAGGCTGACCATGAAGATGTTTCTGTTCCAGTTCGTCAACTACTACTCCTCCTGCTTCTACGTGGCCTTCTTTAAGGGCAAGTTCGTGGGTTACCCCGGCGACTACTCATACATGTTTGGCAAATGGAGCAACCTGAGGAATGAGGAGGTGAGTTTCTACGGCGCTTCATTCAGAGGAGACGCTTCTTAAGATTAAAGTTTCTTTGTCTGACGCAGGAAGAAAGTAAAAGCATGCGATGTCAAATAAAACGTCTTTCTTTCTGTGCCAGTGCGACCCTGGAGGCTGCCTCATCGAGCTGACCACGCAGCTGGTCATCGTCATGACCGGGAAGCAGCTGTGTGGGAACATCCAGGAGGCCCTGCTGCCGTGAGTCCTTCACCATCAGCGCATTCACCAGTGTAGAAAAAGCAATGAGCTACAATAAGACACCATGTTGGCGTGCCACCAAACCACCGAAGCTTCCAAAAAGGGCTGTTTGTCGCTATATTCACACGTCGACCACATAATGTCAAGAAATGCCCCGGCTGATGTGACCCGTGACCAGCTCCAGGGTGGCACAGGGCTGTTCCTGATATTCAACATGGACACTAGACAGAGGAATAAACACGATGCTTTCACAGACAAGTCATAGTGCAGGTAGCTTAGCATCCACGCTACAAAAACACACAACGGAAAACGCAGCCTTCAGGTCATTGTTTAAATCAGAACCCATATACTCAAACACAAAGGTATCTGACATGCAACTGGTCATTCAATCAACAGAAATTAAAAGTCAGACCCCAAATACAAACAGGAAATCCGATGGAGGGCCCGGACAGGAATCACATGCTGCTGAAATAACTAAAAACACCTGAAAGATCATTTTAGTCCCAGACATGACAACTGAGACTGTGTTCAGGGGAGATGAAGAGTTTGTCGGCCTTTAAAATGGTTTGATGAGCGGCTGAGGAGGTGAAGAGGAGAGCTGGAGGCTGAACCACCAGACACAACACAGGAGGAGAAGTCTGGCGGTCTAAATAAAAACTAGATGGAGGCCTACCTGAACTGTAGTCCAGCAAAGACGGAGACGTCCTCCACCACAGGAACAACAGGTGGATCGTATCCAGTCGTGCTCCTGGGGCCAGCTCAGTCACTTCCTTGTTTCCCAGGAAACCTCCACAAGTCCAGCTGGTTCCTGAATCCAAAGCGACTGCGTTAACTTTTACAACTTTAAAGCAAAGATGACCTGGAGCAGGATTAGTCTTCCAAAGACCTCCTCGTGGTTCAGCTCTCCCTCCTCACTCTCCTCCATGCTGCCTGTTAGCCTCTTCTAGCTAACAGGTGTGTCTTATTTATCACCTCACTTCCTGTCCAGGTAGGAAAAGGGCGGTTCAGTGCATTTACTTTACTTCACTCTGATCTGAAGACAATTCACAGGTTTAGATAAACCAGAGAAGAAAAAACTACATAAAGAAACCACTGTTGGTGACAAAAACTTAAAGTCACACGTTTTACATCCAGTTAGAATCTCTGATGTGTGTAAATGAGGAAGCTCCTTCAGCCGCATGCATGTAAACAATCAAACTTTTAATGGAAGAAGCAGAAGCACTGAGACGCTGGTTTGTTCTAATAACTAATGTCTCTGTCAAATTTAACCAGAAACAACAGGAAACCCTTTCATAGCTTTTGTTCTGATCATCTCACTCAAAAGTCCAGAAGTCCGGTCGTGCCTTTATTTAATTTTTCCAGATCAGCAGATAATTGTTGTTCGTACGATTCCTGACAGGCTGATCCGTAACTGGTGGAGCGGCAGGAGAGGACGGCACAACCCCGAGAACCACTACAGCCGCTGGGAGCAGGATCACGTTCTGCAGAACTTCAGCCAGCTGGGCCTGTTCTACGAGTACCTGGAGATGGGTGAGACCGACTAGACAACAAAAAGTTTACACCCACCGTTAGACCGAATGCATCACAGACTGGCGCTACCAGTGACTCCTACAGCTCGGACATTTCTGTGACGGAATCTTAGAAAATACGTCACAAAAAATCCTGCACTGAGGTTCTGTTGTGGTTTTATTATACGAACATTTCATGAACACGACTTCCTACATCTCCTAAACTGCTGCATGTCTGTTTTTGACTCCAGCAGATGTTGTCATTTTTCCATAAGACCTACAAACAATCCAGGAAGGAACCATGATTCCTGATAGTGATTCCATCGTAGAGCACTCAGAGCTGTAGGAGTCACTCTGAACTCAACACGTCTGTCTTTACAGCGTATGTAAACGCTGGTTCGTGCCTCTGCAGACTCATCAGGGAGCTAACAGGAACTTTACTCTTCTTGTATTTGGCTCTCTGACCTTCTTTTCCCATCCCTCTGTGTCTGTGAATGACCCGTCCAGTGATCCAGTTTGGCTTCATCACTCTGTTCGTGGCCTCCTTCCCCCTGGCCCCCCTGCTGGCCCTGTTCAACAACATCCTGGAAATCAGAGTGGACGCCTGGAAGTTCACCACCCAGTTCAGACGGCCGGTGGCGTCCAAGGCCCGGAACATCGGCGCGTGGCAGGAGATCCTCAACGCCGTGGCCATTTTGTCTGTTGTTACCAATGTGAGTTTCAATCAAGCTGAAACTGACGTCGGTCTTGTGCTCTGCGGTCCTTCCTGCAGGATGAATGTTTGGCTTCTGTATTGCGGTGCTATTTCTTTTTTGAACAAAGACTAGATGTGATCAATGTTCAAGCACCAAACAGTCATTGAATCAACAGGTTTTCTGGTTTCTTTGGTTCCAGGCGTTCATCATGGCGTTCACCTCGGACATGATCCCCCGTATGGTCTACCTGTACGCCTACAGCCCCGAGGCCAGCATGACGGGCTACGTCAACAACAGCCTGTCCATATACAACATCTCACAGATCCCAGAGCGCAACATGCCAGAGGACAGCTGGTCTGATAACTCCACCACCACCTGCAGGTATGAGGTCTACACAGCAGGTTGCTCGTCTGGCTCCAGCTTGTTGTTGGTCATTTTAGCAACTTTAAATCTGCACTCATCGATGCTGGTCTGTGAGCAAAAGGTCAAAGGAAAATGTGAGACGTGACAGCTTGTAGTGACAAACCTGCAGAACATTTTCTCCAGACTCTGTTGTTCTGCTCACCTCTTTGGTGCTCAGTGCTTTGATTCAGCCTCATAGCGGCGCTTCCAGCTGCAGCAGTTCACTGAGAAGTGACGCACAAACGAAGGCGGGTCTCACTGAAACCCCCAAAATTAAAAAGGAGGTAAAAGAAAGGTGAAAGGTGACCCAAAACATGACTCTGCATGAGCACCGGTGTTGATCTGCGTCTGCTGGTTGTGTATAAAAGCAAATATGTGACCCAGATGCACAATATCTGAGATACAGCCTGAATGAACACGTGATGAAACATCAAGGGATGGGGTTTGTTACTCACATCCGTCCATTCAGTTGTTTCCTACATGGAGGTAACATATCGCTGTCACATACGTCCGGCGCAGTGCGACTGATTTGGTGCAGACGGGTCACATGTTTGCTAACATGTTGATGATATTTATTTGTTAGGGTTACAGCATGTCAGTGGTAAACGGTTAGAAATGGTTACAGGAGGTTTCCTGAAGGTTTTATATGTCAGTTTGACAGACTGTTGAGCTGTTTGTGTATCAGGTTTACTGGTACACACTGGTACAACAGGTTGGATGTAAAGCTCACTGAAATGAAATCAGACCGTACCACACTCTCCTGCTTGTTGTGCTGCAGGTACCGTGACTACCGTTACCCTCCAGGCCACCAGAGGGAGTACATGCACACCATGCAGTTCTGGCACATCCTTGCAGCCAAAATGGCCTTTATCATTATCATGGAAGTAAGAAACTGCAGCATGTCCTCTTTACTGTTAGAATAATGCTCAGAACCTACGTAGACTGAATCTCTCCATGTGATCGCTCCCCCTCTGCAGCACGTGGTCTTTGTGGTGAAGTTCTTCGTGGCCTGGATGATCCCGGACGTCCCGTCAGATGTGAAGGCGCGGATCAAACGAGAACGCTACCTGATCCAAGAGTACCTGCACAACTACGAGGTGGAGCAGCTCAAACTCCAGCTGAGCGCCAGTTTCATCACAGAGCCGCAGTCGGACGTGACCCTGACGCCGGACAAGCATGAGGTGTTGTCTGAGTGCCTGTAGCCCCGCCCCCACGCCTCGCACCTCCAACTAACCAAATCAAGAATGGACATAACTGGGAGTTCTCTCTTCAATGACCACCAAGGGCTTCTGTCTCTGAGATTTATAAAACGCTCCTTCTTTATTTTCTAGCGGACGTGAACGCTGGCCGGGCTGTACTCCTACATTAGGATCTTTACAGAGGCGTCCAGAATAAAAACCCGATGCAACGTCACAGTTTGTTCTGCTTCAAGTCTGCTTCCCTCATGGATGAAACATTTCTGTGCCATAAACGAATACTTGGAAGTTGGAAAAGAATGTGACCGTCTCTCATATAACGTCTTTAAACTGTCCGTTGGTCAGGAAACACAGAATGTGTGCAGACAGACGCAGAACCTGTGTTTAGAGAGTTCATGTCATTCCCTCCATGTGCTGCCTGTTGTCCATCCTGTGAGACGAAGACGAGGAGCAGACGACTGAATAAAACTGGTTGGAAACTCATATTTAACTATGAATGTAGAAAACACTCAGACTAACATGTTTAACTAGAAAAGAGAAGAAACTCAAACGTTACTTATTTCTCAGACAGCTTCACGTTTTCCTTCTTTTCTAAAGCATTGGTAGCTACCTGACGTCTTTCCACTGATCTATAGCTGGACTATCAGATTCTCAGCTTGTTATATTTCGGGAGAAGCTCTTAAAAACAACTGTGCATTTAAAAAACCAAGTACCTCTGTCCTGCTGCTCGATCCTGTAATCAGAGGAGCGGTGCCGGTCCGGTCGGTCCGAGTTAGGGCCTGCATCGGCACCACAGCGAGGCAGCGGCTGCAGGCTCATCTTCCACGTGTTGCCAACTTGCTGCGGGACCAATTCTAAGATTTCTACCAAAAGAAGAGACTGAAAAATGTTGATCCTCTGTTTTCATACAATCAGGTTTGTGTGGATGAGTTCAGGTCCTGCTCCGGGTGCATGTGCTGAACTCAGATGACCTCCGTCTGCGTGGAGATAAACAGAACAGAGGAGGATTTCAGTAAACTAATCATACTCGCTAGCTGGCCGCGACGTGTTGCTGTAGATATGAAGACTTTTCTATATATTTAAATGGGTTTTAGTGCAATTAATTTATTGATCTGATTCTGCTCTGTGACCTGAAGCATTTGTGTTTAGAGTAACTCCATAAGCCTTGTTCGAAGGTCTTTAGAAAGTCACCTGTAAGCCCTGATGTCTTAGACGTGTGCTCTGCATCGCCTCATGAGTCGTCATCAGTTCAGACGTGACATTAAGTTATTACTGTGTGAAGGGACCAGACATGTGAAAACGCTCCTGTTATCCAGACATCTGACCGTCATTTATCTAAAACAGGACATTTTATCCGCCTATGCTCCATATCCATCTGTATTTCTGTGCTTCTATCAGAACCTCTTTGTGTACGTGATGCCTGCATCAGAAGCTATCAAAGCTACGCCTGACTCTCTCTACTCTCAGGACTGAACATCCTCCAGCGCTGGTCAAGCATCACTCGTTGCAGACGCGTGCAGGGGGTTCAAACATGATCCTGCAAAGATGCAAGACGTATTTCCCAACAAACGAATGCCTTAAACGTCTTTGTTTACTTGTTTTTTGTATGGTTTTGTATCGATGAAGTTTCCTATCTGAACTCTGAACCCGGTTCGTCTCATGTGCTGCTGCTGCTGCTCGTCGCTGTTTTCTGCATGAACTGTTGTTTATGGAAATATTTTGTCAAGTTATAAATTGACTGTAGCCTACTGGACAGGAACTTGGCAAAGCTGGTAGTATTCACAATAAAGACAGAAAAAACAATCCGACTTTGAGTTTTTCTTTAGCAAACAAAGTTTAAAAGCCTCAGTAGTGGATCTTCTAACAACTCAAATCATGCAACAGTTAAGCTCATAACA